TGGGGATTTTCCTTATTAGGCCTTTTAAATGAAGAGAGGTTCACTTTTCTATCATCCCGGTTAGAATAGCACTTCTCGCAATTCCAGAGAGACAGGGACCTAGGGGAGAGAATCCAACGGAGAACTACGAGGATGATCAAGGGACTTGAACATCTCTCTTGTGAAGAGAGACTGAGAGAACTGGGGCTGGTTGGCCTTGAAAGGAGATGTCTGAGAGGGGATCTTATTAACATATACAAATATCTGAGGAGTGGGTGTCAAGGGGTAGGGGACAATCTCTTCTCAGTGGTGCCCAGTAATAGAACAAGAAATAATGATTTTAAGCTAGAACATATGAAGTTCCACCTCAACATGAGGAGAAATTTCTTTACTGTGAGCCCTGGCACAGGCTGCCCAGGGAGGTTGTGGTGTCTCCTTCTCTGGAGACTTCCACAACCTGCCTGCATGTGTTCCTGTGTGGTTGCGATCCTGCTCTGACAGGGGGTTGGTCTAGATGATCTCTAGAGGTCCCTTCCAACACCGAACATTCTGTGATTCTGTGATTCTGCACAAGAATGATGTGGGCCTGTTGGAGCAGCTCCAGAGGAGGCCACAGAGGTGAATCAGGAGGCTGGAGCATCTCTCCTATGAGGACAGGCTGAGAGCGTTGGGTCTGTTCGGCCTGAAGAAGGCTTTGAGGAGACCTTATAGCAGCTTGTCAGTACCTGAAGAGGCTACAGGAAAGCTGGGGAGGGACTTTTCACTAAGGTGTGTAGCAACAGGACAAGGGGCAAAAGTTTTAAAGTAAAGCAGAGTAGGTTTAGATTAGATGTCAGGAAGAAGTTCTTTACAGTGAGGGTGCTAAGACAGTGGCACAGGTTTCCCAGAGAGTTGGTGGAGGCCTCATCCCTGGAGACATTCAAGGCCAGGCTGGATGGGGCTCTGAGCAACCTGATGCAGTTAAAGATGTCCCTGCTCACTGCAGGGGAGTCAGGTCCCTTTCAACCTAGTACACTCTGTGAGAGTTTTTGTTGTCTTTTTTTTTTTTTTTTTAATCTCCAGATATTATTTTTGTTTATCATTGTCATGCAGCTTTTTGGCCCCTTTTTCTTAGACAAACTTGCCAGCATTGACTGAGAAAAGCCTTCTTTCTGACTCGTTAAAAGGTTACTTGGAGAGGTCTTGCATGCTCTTCTCTTACTGTTTTATATGTCTTTTTGCCTTTAGGTACTCCCGGCGTTGGGAAGACCACACTTGGAAAGGAACTTGCATCAAGAGCTGGGATGACCTACGTTAATGTGGGTGACATGGCAAAAGAAGGTAGGCTGTATTATCAAAGTAGTCCATCAAAGTACTTTAGATATGTTTGCTTTGTGTAAGTATGTGTTGGTAGTGTATGTACTACCTATTAAATGAAAGGGCAATTAGTTTGTTTTAACAGAAATTGTTCTCATGGTATAAGTTAAAAAAGTGTTTATGTAACATGTAGCACACTTGGTATTGAGCAATAAATAATTAACTTATCTGTATGGATTTGTAAACAAACGTGTTCCTTGCTCTGAACACTATCTTGTGTTGGCACCCTCCTGAAATAAAGGTAACAATATAAATAATTTTAATAACTGCTGTTACATTCACAAACTTTCATGAACTTTTTTTTGTCACAGGAGAACTGTATGAAGGTTTTGATGAGGAATATGATTGTCCGATTTTGGATGAAGACAGGGTGAGTCCAACTTCAAAACGTATCATTTTTATATTTTGACACTCTGTAATTTCAGACAAACTTGTCTATCTTTGTTTCTTTTGCAGGTGATTGATGAACTAGAAGATAAAATGAGCGAAGGTGGAGTTATTGTTGATTACCATGGCTGTGATTTTTTCCCTGAACGGTGGTTTCATATAGTGTTTGTACTTCGTACAGATAATTCATTTCTGTATGACAGACTTGAAAGCAGGTATGGCAGTGGAGTAAATAAGGAGCAAAGTAATGTTGTGTGGTTCCATATAGAATACTTTATAGTTCACTGCATATCTAAGACTGTCTCTTGGTATTGTTCTTGTTTTTTAGGGGCTACAAAGGAAAAAAGCTGCAAGATAACATTCAGTGTGAAATATTTCAGACACTTTATGAGGAAGCTATGTTGTCATACAGAAAGGAAATTGTACACCAGTTACCCAGCAACACTCCAGAAGACCTAGAGAGAAATTTGGATCAGATTATGCAATGGATTGAGCAATGGATGAAGGACAACAATTGACACTTGGGTGAAAAAGTAACCCTGCTGGATGTCTTCCTGAGACTGTTTAATAAATGACATTAATATTTCATGTATATTAAAATTAATTTTATTGTAATCTGATGTGGTTGGGGATGAGAAGGTTCAGAATAGCCAGGTTGTAAGGCTTTGCAACAGCGTCTGAAGCACCCTGGGAGAGGCATGCAGGAGAACTCGCACAAGTGGGAATTCAGCGGTGATGAAAAGATGAAAATGACACAGTTGCCCTTACTAGCAGGTACTACATTCAGTAATTACAATTAAAACCAAAACTTCTCCCCTCCTACCCCCCAAAAAATGGCTGAACCCTGAAAATGGCAACTGGGGAGCTTTTGACTTCTAAAGGATAAAACCATATCCCAAGGAGTTAGTCTGTCTCTCAATTGTTAGACTAAAACCTGTTATACTCTACTATATTCTTGAATGGTGGCGGCTGATGTAGAGTGAGGAGTGTGTGTAGTTTAAGGATGGCGCTTTATTTCGAAGAGCAGTGACTTGGTGAGAGATATTTTAAAGTTATTACAGAGAACTGTGGGAATTATAGTATAAGTAAACAGTGGCTATGTCTGCACTAGTGTGGGATATTAAGCAATATTTTCTTTCTCCTTTTTCTCTCTGCATTCTCTTTCCAGTCATGGAACATGTCTATCATTATTAGTTTGTCAAGAAAATGTATCATTTGGCAGGAAAACAAACGTGCAGCGATGCAGAACATGGTCACACTTGAAATACTGGCAGGCATCTGTTCTCATTACTTGTAAAGCCTGGGTCCTAGGAGAGTGTGGCTTTAGAGAGCAGAAATGACATTTTTTCACTGGAAAGGTGGCTTGTAAAGCCAAGTGAAAAAATTCTGTAGGAAGTGATTGCTAATAAACTTTTTATATACACAAGTTTGAATAGTAAAACTCGTATTTGCTTGAAATTTTCTGTTGTGAAGAGTATGGTGCTTACATATTTAAGATTCTGGAGTTTAATTCTAAATTTAGTATAGACCTTTTGTGAGACTTGCAGAAGAACACTCCACCAGCAATTTCTTGTATAACCAAAATGATGAAAAATCTGGTGTTTCCTTGCAGAATCGGGACCAAAGGCTGTGGAAACACACATATACCTGCATTGCTGCTGAAAAGCTGCTTTCAGGGTTACCGCTTCAATGGGAAACGGGGGGAGGGAGACTTCCGTGTGAAAGCATTCTTGGGAATGCTTCCCACGACCACCTTTTGTACAGTGCAATCACGTTTCTAAAAGCTGCTTGGGACTTCTGTAAATGCTGTTGTGCTTGGGGCGTCTGTGTGCGGGGGGGGGAGCGGCGTTGCAGGGAGAACATAGAGTATTGAAATAAAAAAAATAAAAAAAAAAAGACCAAACAAATAACGCGCTTATCGCTCCCAACAGCCTCCCGGGGAACTTTGTGGCTGCTTCCCCACGCTCCCA